GAAAAGGAATAAAAAAGGAACAATGATACCATAATGCTACAAAAGTCCGACACATATGGATCAAACTCTTTCTTAAAAACTCTTGCTTAAAAAAGTAAGAGCCAGTATGAATAGCCACAACTTAAAGCAGAGCAATTAAATGAAGTTGGCAAGGAAATGAAGGATTTTCAAATGTTTATTTTTTGATTGCTTTTATTTTTTATTTTATTTTTTGCTTACCAATATTTTATCAGTTATTTGAAGCTGAAACATATTTTGGACTATCTTAAAAGCTGTCCCATCAGGAGGCATTTAAGCTGCTCCTGCCGTGGGCTCTTGATTGGGCCTGCAGCTTGTTCAGGAGTTTGAGAGTCTAAGTCTAGGCATATTCTCAGCACTGGAAGCTCTCCTGGTTGCCATTTGATCTGGGTTCTCATTTGTATGGGACTTTTTTTTTTCCTTGATGCAGCCTTGGCTCTTTTGATCACAATCTGTTGGTGGAGATTTCTTTTTGTGAGGCATACTGCTGCCATATGCGATAGGCAACAATAAACTACAGAAGAACTCAAAACTGATCACTGCATTTAAGTATTGCATTAATATTTAAGCTTACCTTTCACAATAATTCTTTTGCCCCCACTTAATTTAAAACCGATGTACGCAAGTCTTACTTTCCATACAAAAAATTATTTTTAGTTTATAGGTGACTTTTGCAATTAATTTCGATTATTCCCAAATTTATTTCCACGTTATAAAAATTATCATATAAAAAAAAAATAAAAATCATATAAAAGGCAGAAACAAGCACAGAAAAGCGTGACATTTGCATTTATTACATAGATAGAGTGTAACCCGGATATAAGAGAGTTGTCGGGACCGGAGAAGTCTCTTATATCCGGGTTTGGTCTATTTTATATACATTAACACAGGCTCTAATTTGGGGCCAGAGAAAATCTCTTATATCCGGGTTACACTGTAGTAAGAATAATTTTTTTAACAAGTGAATATTTCATTTAACAATTTTTTGAGAATAACAATGATTTTTCCTGATAGAAGTTCTACTGTTTAAGTTAACCCATAGCTGGAGGTAGTGGGATGGAGTCATGATACCTTTCGCAAACCTGTGAGTGAATATAAGTTTTAACGTACACGAATGTTATTCGAATTAGGCTCCCAGGATTCTTATTCTGGGCTGCTATGTCTATTGCAAGGATGGATATTCAATTGCATAATTAACAATTTAACATCACAAAAGAAAAAAAGCTAGCGAATTATATTTCCGTTCTAGAGTAAGTTTTTCTAAGAAAAACGAAATTCTCTATGTGAATTTGAGGTTTTGTTTTTTCGTTGTATTTTTTTTTTTTTAGCCATGCAGTGTAAATGTTTTTTCCCCCGTTTTAATAAATACAAGAAAAACCAAATATTTTTTTTTTTTAAATTTTAGCCCAAAATCTTCCACGTGGTCGAATACAGATAATGTAAGTAAGATTATGAAGTGAATCCTTAATATTTTATCTATGAAGAAGAAAAACAGGTTTAAACGTCATTGTACATTGCACGTGATGTTTGGTGGTGAAGATCGATAATGATCGAAATCAACAAGTGGTGGAAGTTCAACCTTTGACTTTTTAAATTGTCAGACACGGAGAGTACGGGCGAAACACACTAGAATCTGTCAGGGTTTTAAAATCTTGGAGTCATTTGAATAAAAACGTGTGAGTGTTTCACGCTAAGTTAACTGAAAATAAAAAGAATTAAAAAAAAAAAAAAAATATTTTTTTATATTGTAAAAAAAAAAAAAAAAAAACTGAAGATATTTGGTCAAATAAACATACCGCCACTTATTTTTTTTAATTTTCCATCGACCCTTTAAATAAATCCAGTAGTTAATTTATTTAAAAAAAAAAAAAAAAAAAAAAAAAAAAGGAGAGAAAAAAGGAAAATGTACTGTACTGTTGTACATGAAGAAAAGGCTGTTTAGTGTTTAGTTTACTGGATGACACAACAACGACTTTAATTATAACAGTTGGCTAAAATAAATTGAATTAGCCTAATTGACTAAAAATTGTGGTGCAATAGCAATCTCATCACAATATTTTGGACAAGTTACACCGCACAGGCCTCCTTGAACAATCTGATCTCCATAATAATTGAACTATTGTTAGTATTTTATCTACCGTTCATTGTAATTAGGTTGAAAAATTATTTATTGAGGACGGATCAAGCGTAATAATAGGCGAATTATTTAAATAATTATTAATATTATTCTTAGATTTTTTTTATCTGAATTCAATCTTCGCCACCGTAATTATCAGAATTGTACGCGTTTTTCAATTCCATTTTTAGTCAACTGTTTTATAATTTATTTATGTCATTGTCTTCTTCCAGGACCGTGTGCCCACTAAACGGTAGACAAGCCATGAAAATTTCATAATTAATGACAATCTTATAATTATATTATAAAGACAGTGAAATCATACAATTCTTTATTCGTGTTTGCTTTTTAAATGTTAGTTCAAGCATTGCTCGTCTAAAAACGATGACATTTTAGAAAATAATAACAAAATCTGGATAAAAACGCGTACAAAACAGATTGTGGAATTTTAACTCCAGATGCATTTTTAAAAATCAAAATGTCAAGCAAAATGACAATTTTATTTTAACGACAATTAAAAAGTCAGGTCATTTTTTTTAAATTAACGATCGTCCATATCCCTACCTAAATAAAAAAAGATAAAAAAAATTTAAGTACAAACTATTTAATACTGCATCTAAGAATTCAAACAAATTCGGATTTTCAATATTTATTTCAAAAAGTATTCTCGTTTAAAAATTAAGCTACTAAAACAAACGTTAAAAACGGATCTATAGGGCAACTGTAGCAATAAAAAGATTTCGTCCCCGATGAGTCACCATATCTTGGCCCACAGGGGGAGATAACTCGTTCGGAAACACATGACTTGGGTTTTAGTTGCTGTGTACAATATTTATGTTAGAAACACGCCTTTGATTAATATTTACTCATTTTATTTTTTATCTATGTGTAGACGTAGCGTTACACTCTTAATAGCAGAAAAATAAGGGGGTAAAAATGACCTCTAGATTCATCTATGATATTAATGCTGTTTAGTTTAACACAGGAAGGTATAAAAATAAAATGCTTTTAATGGGGATATAGGGAAATGAAAGAATTGAAACTAAAATTTAATGATTAATTAAAAAAAGGGGAAAATAATATCAAGCTTTGATTTTTAAAAGTAAAGTAACTATTATTCAGTTGAAAATGAGATTTTTATCCAGAAAGAAACAAACGATTTTATATTTCCATGTGACTTCAGAATAAAAGCAAATGCATTTTTAAAAAACGTTACAAAATATAAAAAAAAAAAAGTCGGAATCACGTTCATTCAAGTTGTTCAATATGGTGTTTTTTATTTAGAAAAAAAAAAAACTGTTTGTGACCGGATTTCCACAATAGTCAGTAAAATATTTTCTCGATTCATATTTCGAGAAGGCTTTTTCTATTTGGATCTCCAATTTCAACACAGGAGATTAAAGTTTTAAATGCATAATCGGTCGCGTTTGAATGTTGGGTGGTGGAATGCAATGTGCGTGCCTCCATGCCTCGTGGCTTTTTTTAGGGACTCGAAACATGTGACTTTTTTCTTTTAAAACAAAAAAAAATGTGTGCAAACTGTACACAATTCTTGTTAATAAACAAATGTCTATTTTTAAAAGGTACAACAGATATACATACAAAAAACGACGTTAGTGAGTCAGTCTTGTTATTTTATCTTATTGAACTCGCACATATAGAAAAATCTCGACTTCGAAAAAGGCAAAAAAAAGCTAGTGATTTTAAAAGCCATTTCTGAACTCTTTCAATTTTTTGTGGGGTGCGTGAGGGTTAATGGTTTATTTAATCCTTCTTTGCTGACTAGCCTTATGTAGTTGCAATGGCTTAAAAATAATTTAAGTTTTTTTTAGTACATATGTATTTATTTACTGATATTGTTCATTTAAAAATAAACACGTGTCAAAATAAAACATTTGCTGAGAAATGGATGTGTGTGTGTGTGTGTGTGTGTGTGTGTGTGTGTGTGTAACACACATTAGCCATAACACTAGTGTCACACTTCGTGAGAATTTCTGGGGGTGGCATAAGGTTACCAATTTATTGAAAAGAACAGTATGTATTTCTGTACTTTTATTGTGTATAATTATTTAAAGGACATAAAAATAAACTTGACAAAAATATGGTATCTAACTATTGTTAATGTTACCTGAAGGACAATACATACGAGCCCAATGCAAGGATCTCGCCCCACCCCTCTCGAATCTATTATACGGAGGGGGGGAACTCTTAGTCTAACTCAATTTTCATAAGGTATAAAAGTATATTCATATAAAAATAAAATACAAATTTTATTGCAACCTATGTACAATAATGGATCGTATGAAATATAGGAGAACAATTTTAGAAAAACTGAAAATAAATAGTGTAAATTAAAATATCAAAAGTAGAAACCTGTGAAACTATTTTTTTATTATGTGACTGTGAATAAGATATTTTTGTTTGGTCAAAGAAACGAGCCTCTTATTTTTTTCAATTCCCCATTGACTCTTTAAGTAGAAGTGTAGTAGTAAGTAGAATAATTTAATAATTTAACTAATAAAAATTAGTCAGACTTGATCCCCTCCCCCTATTTGGGGGGGGTCGGGGTAGTACGCGCCGGTCCTGCATACCCCTCCCCATTCTTTTTTCCCGGGTCACCCAATGGATAGATTTTAGTTACTTTTCAGTAGCTCGAAAGAAGTACCACCAGCGATCAAAATTACTGACGCGAAACTGTTACACCTCATGAACCACAAAAATAAAACATTTCAACAAAACTTGGCAAGTATTTTAACAGATCCACATTGCAACAAACTGATTTTTAAGTTTATTTTCTTAATAAAAAGAATTAGTTTGATGGCGATAATCAGAAGGTACAAAAAAGTCTTCCGCAACGATTCAAGCACGTTGAAACACCGGCTCTCATACAATCTTCGAGGTTAAGCAACGTCGAGCCTGAACAGTAACTAAATGGGTGAGCGCTTGGGAATACCCGGTGTTCTAAGCTTGGATGTTTAGGTGGTTTAAAGTAAACGTTAAACGGCTCAGAATTGTTAATCGGAGAGCCGAGTTCAAATTCCAGTTGTGTACGTTATATTCACTTACGCGCAAGTACCTATGAAAAAGGCATGAATCCACTTACCATCTTGGCTATGGGTTACTAAAAAAAAAAAAAAAAAAAAAAAATGGTATCAGTAAATCATTATCTCCCTACAAATTTGTAAAATCTAAAAATATTTTGGGGCATTAAATAATCTGCAAAAGATTGATAAGCCGTAAGTAAAAAATAAATAAATAAATAAATAAATAAATCATAAGCTTAGGAGCGAGATTTTTTTCTCTCCCATATCGGATCAGTAGAACGAAACATTATTGGATGTTATTGTTACAGAAAGAAAAGAGATGCCTGTGAAATATAGCTGGATTATTCAAAAGATGAAATTTTGTAACACTAGCAGGAAATTAAACAAAAAAATATTTTCAAATAATTTAATTATCTATGTGGTGATCGCTTAAGCCTGGAAAATGACAGCATGTAATGTTGATGTATACGTCAACAATGTCACTGCTGTGTTAGTAGTGTTAGTTCTATGAATACTCAACCTCCCGATATTGAATAATAATCTATAAAATATAATAGCACGCGAAGACAGGGGACAACAACTTTAAACATGCAAGGGATCCCCACCACACACAAAAACTAATAAAACATCCACAGAGTCGAATCATCCTCATTTCCTCCGTGTTCTAAATGCAAGAAGAAAGTTCGACTTAGACAGCTACTTAATGAAAGAGTCCAACGTGGGTGCTTCTCTGACCTCCTCAAGATAAGGATCGACATGTCTATTCTTATCATCATTTCTTACAGCAGATTTTATTCAAAATTACCATGTCGATTGTATTTTTTCTTTGAGTGGCTCTCGGATCTTTCTGTCAATTCATCCCAAATAATGTAAAGTTCAGTCAGTTATGTGCCATGCATGATACACGCTTAGGTGATCATGTATCTGCAGTCATCTTTCGATACATGACTGACGAGACAGATTTTTTCCTGCAGTAGTTTGCCATTTCTTTCGGCGGTAGAAAGTTGCCATCCAAGAATACCCATAGAACTGTCCTGCTATTTACCCATAGCTGGGGGTATAAGAAAAGGATTCATAGCACATAAGTGAATATAATGGATTCGACTGAAATTCGAACTTGGCTCTCCGATTCCTCAATCCGAGCCGCTACAGTATTACTCCACCGTGCCTCCAGTTACTTATCGCAAGAATTAATTCACCCCAACCCAAAGAAATTATAAATTTTCAATCAAAGTTTGTTTTATTAAATTTTTGGCACTCTTGAGATTATAAATTTTTAAATCAAAGTTTGTTTAAATTACCTCGCAAGAACGCCAACCCCCAGAATTAAAAATTCTGAAAAATCAGTGAGTTATTCACATTTCGTAAGTGCGGATGATATCTGAGGTACTTACAGGGAATATTTTACAATTTAAAAAAATAAATAAATCTGTTTTTGGTTTGTTTATCGGTGTGAGCGCGAATGTAGACCCCACACTTAGAAATAGCGCACCCCGGTCGCCAACATTTGGCGCGATCACAAAGGTCAACCCAACAGGAGTGCAATGGAAGGACCTCGCTCTGAATTCTTTTTATTTTGGGGTGAACAGAAAAGATCCTGGCTCTCATGCCTTGTATTTGGAAAGAAAAAAAAAAACGTAGAAAAAAGAAAAAGAGAAAAAGAATAACGAAAAAAAAGAGAAAAAAGAAAAGTCACTTCTTGTCATTTCTTTTGCCTACAAGAGCAAGTTCGATCTTAACTGTAAGCCTCTTTACGAAACTATTAAGCTTTTAATGACGGGCGCTGTGGTGTAATGGATATCAGAGAACCGAGTTCGAATTCCATTCGGGTTTGTTATATCCACTTACGCGCAAATACCCAGGTATGGGTTGAATAGCAACTAATCTACCACAGAAAGAAAAGGCAACCTACTACGTGAAAATCTGCTTCGAAAGAGACATGATCGCTCAAGCGTGTTTCCCCTATGCCACTCAACTGACTGATTTAAACTGGACTTGATTCAAAAAGAGGCTTTTTTACCTTTAAAAACTCGACTGTAAATCACGTCAACATATCTGCCAACTGAAAGTTCAGTTATGACACACACCAAACATGAATCGCGGAAGATCATGTTACGCCTGACAGTCCTATTTTGGAGGATCAACCCATCGAGAGAGTAACATATCAGCATTTAAGGTCTTTGATTTTACCTGTAACCGAATAGACTTCAAGCGTCTAGGGAAAAAAAAAGATCAAGCCACGAGTCGGGCCATATGACTTCTGTTCCTTTACTCACTCCCCACCCCCCACGTTGCTTAATTTGTTTTTCGGAAAGAAAGTCAGAACCATTCCTAACACGAGGTCATGAACTTTCTTCGGGCAGGTCATTTTATTATTATTATAAAATTTGTTTTCCAAATTTTTGGCCAGAGTTGCGTCTCGTGGCTTGGCAAAGCGGTAATGAATTTCCTTGATGTTTTGATTTCGGGAGCTGAACCTGAAGAGAGTCAATCAAGCTAGAGGGTTACTGAATAAGGTGATTGTATGGACGTAAGAGAGGGAAGTAAATGCAGAACATGAGGATATGTAGGATAGAGAATGCCTTTATTTTTTTTCGTTTTAAGTTTAATAAAAGAGTATTGAATGGGAAAATACTAATAACACATACACTTATCTATTTATTGTTAAATGAACTAAAATTCCGAAGTTGTAGTTTCTAGTTTAGCGTTTCAAACGTTTTCTGCACACCAAAAACTGTTTACCTTAAATACGAAGGAGCAGTGAAATGGCGAAAGATGCCTTCCAAAAGTTAAGCAAGTTATTAAGAAACAGGAAAACAAAACAAAAACAAAGATGGGTTTAAAATGTTATGCAATATCAATCCTCATGTACGATAATGAATGTTGGACAATTTCCTCACAGATGAAGAGAAGACTCGAAGCATTAGAGATGCAGCTCTACAGTAGGATGCTGAGAATACCGTAGATGGAACATGTGAGAGATTAGAAAGTTTTAAGGAAAAGAGGAAGCAAAAGGAGGCTATGCTTAAGATCAGTAAGAGACAGCTGAACTATGACTGAGAAAAGGGGGCTTGGAGAATTTGACACTCGTATAACATACTGAAGGCAAGAAATGGCGACGGTAACAGCGAGTTACCTACCTAACGAGTGTGTGTAAATGGATAGCAGAACAGGTACTGGGAGGGGAAGTTGCGGAGAGACATGATCGCCCACGTCCTGAAGGGATACGACACAAAGAAGCAACTTCATATTATCATCCTACACTTTTAGAATTTAAAGTAAGTCATGTATTTAGCAATAAAACACAAAAATGGCATCTGAAATGCAATCAATGTGACGTGCTAGACAATTTTTGTCTCCAGAATATATCTTACTGTACATATCTATATGTCTATCATTCGTCAAGGCTAGAATATTGCTGCCACATATGGTCCGGTGCTCCTGCTATTTTAGACGTATCAGGAACATTCGCCGTAAACATTTTTGCCGTAGGAAAACACCTCAGGAATATTTGCCGTAGGAACCTTCGCCGTATAGGATTTTGCCCTAAGACAATTTCGCCGCATTTCTTTTCGATACCCTTATTTCGAAGGTCCCTTTTTTTTGGAGGGATGTTCAATTTAATATGCGAAGTACCTTGTTATCAAGTATATATGGATATCTTTTTTACAGGGTAACATCACGAAAGAAATTAAAAAGTAAACATTTATTTTAAAAAAATAAGACAAAAATATATCAAATTAACAAAGTGTGCAAATTACAAGCAATGCTTCGTAAATGTGTGTGTTTTTTTTTGTTTTTTTTCTTTTTTGGCGTTGGACTGTGATGAAGCATTTTCCGCTGAAGTTTCGCATTGGTGTCAATTTCATTTGTACTGCATCACCTCAATCTAAATCACACTCTTTTTTGCTAATGTCTCTTCCTTTTTCAAACACGCAATTAGTTTCCACAAATTTGGGTGCGTATTAGTATGACTTCGCTTATTAAAATGTTTAAATCGAAGTAACAATTGTGCGAGTCAGATATCCTTGATAACAAGGTACTTTGCATATTAAAAAATAAAGTACGAGGCGAAATTGTGTTACGGCGAAAATCCTATACGGCAAAGTTTTCTACGGCGAAAATTCCAGAGACGAGTTTTCCTACGGCAAAAATTCCCGAGGCGAATGTTCCTAGAACCATATTTAGATGGTCTTGATAGAATTCAAAGAGTCAGTAATATTACTGGTCCTGACTACAGTCAGTTTCCCCACAGCCGTAATGTTGCCTCCTTGTGATTTTTCTATAAATACTTTCATGCTAATTGTTCGAATTAGCTATTCGTTATGGTACCTGGACTTTATGAATTTAAGCTCAGTACTAGACTCTTGACGAGGTCTGATCAATTTTTACAGTTGAATATGCTAGCGATGTAACAGATCGTAAGCTCTATATAACAGTTTCTTTTCTCGTTTATAGAACTATCTTCCGGCTCTATGCTTTCCAGACAACTTTAATCTTCAAAAATTTAAATGCAATGTCAATCGCTATCTACTGTCCTCCTGTACTCTTTTATTCTCGCTATTTAGTAATATTTTCGAATCTTTCCACGCTCTGTAACCTCTTGTGTCTCAATGGCTTTACTGCCTTGTTCGAGTTTATGTCGATTTTAAGAAAAAAAAAAAAAAAAAGATGTATTTTCAACTACTATTTTCCCCTAAGCAAAAACGAAAATTTAATCTCAGGCTATTATTATTATTATTATTATTATTATTAAAAATAAATAATAATATCACCCGAATGATGTCACAATTGTTGATGGAGTGACTACTCAAAGTGTGTAATTTCCCAATCCTCACAGACGAACAAATAGACTTGACAGTCATAAAAAAGATTTTAAAAAAGAACCTGCCAACTAATTGATATGACTTCCCCCACC